CAGGAGTTGGAGGTTGCTGTGAGCTGTAATGCCACGGCACTCTGCCCAGGGGGACAGCTTGAGGCTCTGTCTCAAAAAAAAAAAAAAAAAAGACATAAGAATTCAATAATAACATGAAATGCAAATGGATTGGACTGGAAATAAAAATAAGATCCCACAATATGATGTCTACATAAGACACACTTTAGATTTAAAGATACAAACAGATTCAAAGTAAAGCAACTACATGGAACTTGGAGCGGCTATCTGAATATAGACTTTGAAACGTACAGTATTGCTCCTGGAATCTGAATGCTCCAGAACTCAAGACAACTTGGAATCCGAATAAAAAATTCAAGCAGATTTTGCCCGAAATCCCAATACTGCTTTGGAATCTGAATGCCCAGCACTTTATTCAGATGTTTTGGGGCATACATTTCCCCAGCACTCAGGCCACCCACACGCCGCTTTGTCATTCAGTTTGTTGTTGGAAGCTGTAGTGAAAGCATCTCATGTGATTTTTGTTGTTAATTTTATGCTTTTGTGCCTGTTTTTTTTTTTAATGTTATAATAACTAAGTGTATTCGCCATGGGTCCTAAAAAGTGTAGTGAGGAAAACAAGAGTAAGAGGAAAGCTGTTAGAGCTACAATTGAAAGTAAGAAAGATTTTATTGCTAAGCATGAAAGTGGTACATTTGTGGCTGATCTCGTTGTTATGTTCAGAATACCTAAATTGTTTGTCCAATTTTGAAAAATAAAGAAGATATCAAATCAGCTGATGTTACAAAAGGGGTTACAACACTGACCTCCAGGAAATCGAAAAGTATGGAAGAGATGGAAAAACTCCTCTTAGTTTGGATTAATGAAAAAACAGCTGGCTGGTGATGTGATTTCTGAGAGAATCATTTGTGAGAAAGCCAAGATCGTCCATGATAATTTAGTGAAAGGCATGCCTGAAACTAGCCCTCAAAAGGAGGAGTTTAAAGCCAGCAGGGGGTGGTTCAACAACTTTAGGAATAGGACTGGGATCCATAATGTTGTTAGGCAGCAGAAAAGTTTGTAAAGGAGTTTAAGGAGTTTGTGAACAGTGATGGGTATGTTTCAAACCAAAGGTTCAATTGTAAAAAAACAGGCCTTTATATTTTTAGGTTTTTATATTTTTAATTTTATTAATTTATATTTTTATTCAAATATTATTATTTGTTAATATTTTAGCTTAAAATCCAGTGTATTTACTGTTAAAATCATTTTGAAAATTCGATTCTGTGTGACCCAGGAACGGATTAATCCAGTTTCTGTTATTTTAAAGGGGAAAAATTGTCTTAGAACTTGAATGGGGTTCTGGAATGGATTAAATTCAGATTCCACATTATCACTGTCTATGCATCTAACTACAGAGTGAAAAAACCACGAAGCACAAACTGACCAAAATGAAGGGAGAAATAGACAATTAGATAATAACAGTTGGAGACTTCAATGCCTTGTGCCCAATATTTGATAGAAGAACTAAGCAGATCAACAAGGAAATAGAATATTTGAACACACTATAAACAAATAAGGCATTGAATAGCTCATCTTTCAACTTTAGCATGTTATAAAACTGACAATTCAGTGTTGCATTGGCACAAATATAGTTAACAATACTTAGAACTTTTTGCGAAGTGTCACTTAAAATAGTAGCTTTAGGCTCAGTGTGGTGGCTCATGCCTGTAAGCCTAGCACTCTGGGCTTAGGAAACTAAGTTTCCTAAGTGAAACTGGTTTCACTCTTGAAACCAGCCTGAGCAGGAGTGAGACACCCCCCTCTACCTCCCACCCCACGGCTACTAAAAATAGAAAAATTTGCCAGGCATTGTAGCATCCCTGTAGTCCCAGCTACTCAGGAGGCTGAGGTAAGAGGATTGCTTGAGTCCAAGAGTTAGGTTGTTGAGAGCTATAATATCATGACACTCTACCAAGGGTATTAGAGTGAGATTCTGTCTAAAAAAAAAAAAAGAGTGAAAGAAAATAAAATAGTAGCTTTTTGGCACAGAGAGTTTGCTGCTAATGCAAGACACAATGAAAAGAAATGAGAGCATCTGGATCTGTTAATATATATTTTTTTAATCTGCACAATAGACCCTTCGTGTTTTCCTCTCATGGAAGGCACACCGTCTGTATATACACTCACTAAATTTACCAAATTCAGTCCAATTTCATGACATTTATCTTGAAAATTGTTGAAGATACCTCTCTTCAGTGTTCTATTCACAAGAGTCCTCAAAATGAGTAACTCTTCATAGCAAATAAAATCTTTATTACTTAAATGATGTATAAAGCCTGTGCCAAGTCAATAGTATCAGTTGATTCATCCAAAGTGATTAAATAATATATTCTTTCCTTTTGAAGTACTGCATGGAGTTGTTTTGGTAAGTTGAAGACTAATCCATGCTGTTGATCAGTTATAGTTCTCCTTGAAAGAGGCAGTTATTTGCACTTTGAAATGTTATCAGGGTCTTAGCATCCTTCAACTTCAACAATGCTTTCTTTCACAATTTCTACGGTCACCGAATGGTTTCCTTTTTCCCCTGAGTATATAAGCTACTTTATAAGTTGATTCAGTGGCAGTATTTC